TGTGTGTGTGTGTGTGTGTTACTGAGGTCTGATTGCCGTCTTCTGAAGTTCACAGCGGTTTGGTAAAGTGCCACTCACAGACTCAGAGTGGAGTCGAGCACTGTGGGTGTGAGGCGGCTGCAGCGACACGAGACTCGGCGCTTTAACTCAAACTGACAGAGGAACCTCGGACCAAAGACACCAGAGGGGACCTACAGTCAAACAGCTAACGCTCCCCTGCTCTGACTGTACGTCTTCTTCTTCTCTCTGCGTGACCTCAGGCGCTGCTGCAGGCCCACGACGTGGTGGCCCACGAGGTTTACAGTGACGAGGCTCTGAGGGTGACCCCGCCGCCCACCTCGCCCTACCTGAACGGAGAATCTCCAGAGAGCACCAACGGAGACATGGACCTGGAGAACGTCACAAGAGTCCGTCTGGTCCAGTTCCAGAAGAACACGGACGAGCCAATGGTTCGGTTTCACACGTTCACCGTCACACATTTGGACTGAGGCCACACCGGAGCTGTGTGTCGAGGTTCTGTCTCCTCCACTGATTCCACATGTTTGTGTTGATGTTTGCAGGGAATCACGCTGAAGATGAACGACTCCAACCACTGCATCGTCGCCAGGATAATGCACGGGGGGATGATCCACAGACAAGGTGCAGGTTCACAAACGTGATCTCAACTCCTTATTTTACCGAATGGACAGGAAGCTGTAGGAGGACAGGAATGTTTCAGATCTTCAGAATAAAAACACCTGTCGTCCATCTTAACAAGGACACAACAGAGTGAACAGAGGTTCAGCAGCTGGTTTGTTTCTGAATGAAATTAAAAACGTCCTGTTTGTTTTCAGGAACTCTGCACATAGGAGACGAGATCAGGGAGATCAACAGCATCAGTGTGGCCAATCAGACGGTGGAGCAGCTGCAGAGGATGCTGGTGCGTGTGAACAACTTCAGATCATCGCAGATTCACGTCACAGGTGTTTATGTATTCAGTGTTTCTGCTCGTGTGTGTTCACAGAGGGAGATGAGAGGCAGCATCACCTTTAAAATCGTGCCAAGTTACCGGACGCAGGGATCCTCGTGTGAGGTAACGCCTCCTCTTCCCCCTCCTCCTCTTCCTCCTCTTCCTCCTCCTCCTCCTCCTCACTGCTGACTGTGACTCCTGACCTGGTTACTAACTGCCTGCCTGGTTACTGAGCCTGTGTGTGTGTGTGTGTGTGTGAATTTTGCTGTGTATTGCTGAGGCTGGGTCAAATAATCAGCACACCAATTTCACAACCAAGATACCGGAACCCCCGACCACCCCCCCTCTGGTCCAGGACAAGCCACACCTCTCTGTGTGATCCCGTCCGTCTCCTTCCACACACACACACACACACACAGACACACACACATACACACACACACACACACACACACAGACCAACATTTGTGTGAACGGAGATGAGTCTTAATGTGAAGTGAAAACTTTCAGTCTAATTTTAGCTTTTTTAATTAAAAACTGAAAAGTAGAGTGACGTGTGTGGCAGGTGGTTTTCAAAATAAAAGCTCCGTGGTGTCACTTTTAAATGAGCTGCAGTTCAGATTTACACAAATCATATCACAAACATATAAATTCACTGTCAGCTGATCAGTTATTAGTTCATTGGTTGTTTATTATT